AAAGTTAAGGACATTTTGAGCATTCTATCTTTATCTAATCTTTCAGTACATAGCATGGTCTAGATTTAAATTCTCTTCATTCCCATTCTCTTGTTCTTCTTTTTTTTTAAACATAAAGTGAACTTTTTAAATCATGCACAGAAAACCTGATATGGTTACAGTGCTGAGTGCTACAGAGAGGAGATGTTTTCACGCATGATATTGGTGAAACTGGTCAATTGTGGTTTGTTTAAAAATATTAAATGTCCTGTTTTAATGTCAGTTTCATGCATTAAAAATGTCTTTGCAATAAGAAAATTGATCGTTCTTTTCTTCAGCTCTACAGCAGAATATGCAGGCGACGCTCGGAGCAGACGTCACTCTCCAGTGTCAGATTACTACAGATGAAAGAATCTCAGTGCTAAAGTGGAGCAGACCTGACCTGAACACAGACGGCTACGTCTACTTCTACAGGAACAAACGCTCCTATGAAAATTACCAACATCCATCTTTTCATGGCCGAGTGAAGCTGAGGGATCCGGAAATGAAGGATGGAGATGTTTCTGTGATTCTGAAGAACGTCACGTTTAATGACACTGGGATGTATGAGTGTCACATAGCTGTGAGGAACCCTGTGAGAAGTAAAAGAGCTCACACTGAGATCAGTCACTTCATTGAGCTCACAGTCACAGGTGAGTTTGTCATGCCAACAGCAAATAGAGTGCGTCCATAATGTCGTAGTTAGCATGTTCACTTAGCAAGTTCAAGCCCAGGTGACACAAAACCTTTGGGCTTTAGTCAGCAAAAACACATGTGTGTTTAGTGTCACATGTCAGATAAAACATGCTGAGCTGCTCACTCTGTTGCGAGTAACTTTAATACAGAAAATGACATGCACTGAGCTAGCAGTTCTTACTACTGTATATCAAGGGTAAAGTCGTAGCATGCTGCTAACATAGATGCTTTCGGTCAACAGCCAAACACATTTTATGTAACTTGACATCTCCTTAACTGCAGCTGACTGAAGCTGTTCTCCTGCTAGCTTTACCTGCTGAACACGTTAAAGCTCACATCTGAGGGTTTCTTCTCTAACAGCTAATCTTTGCTCTGCAGGTGAAGTGCATGAAAACATGTTGGAGAAGCACATCATGGAAGGAGAAGATGCTGATGGAAACACTGAGGTTGAACAGGTTGAAGCACAGACTATCCTGATTGTTGCTGCTGTTGCTGCTGTTGCTGTTGTCATTGCTGTTGTCATTTCTGTTGCTGTTGGTTTGTTAGTGTTGCTCCTTAAGAGAAATAAGAAGCAGCGTCACATCCTACTGAGGAAGAATCAGTTCTGCTGATTACAAATAACCGCCATAAGGATTTAAATATATTTAATTTAAAGTGAAAATGATAAGATCACAAACTGTTTGTTTATTAGATGACAATTTGTAACCATTAAAAAGATTAAACACTGTCCTCACATATCTATCATAAAATATCCTCATAACTACATTTATAATTATTAATACTAGTTAAATATGTACACCTAGAGAACAAATCTTGCTTATTGAAGCTAATCTGTGCATTCAAAGCAGTGGTAGGAAACTTTGCACCTTTGCATGTATGGAATGACACATGGATATTTGTGCTTGCAGGTGCACTGCAAACATTTTATGTACTGCACACACATGGACACATCAGAATTACTAACATAACTGAAATGTATGTGTTTAGACTTTGAACCATCTGGAGTACCAAGAAAATCCATGCAAAAAGGCCACAGGCAAGATTTAAACCAGGAATA